GGGGTTTCACCGTGTTAGCCAGGATGGTCTCAATCTCCTGACCTCGTGATCCGCCCACCTCGGCCTCCCAAAGTGCTGGGATTACAGGCGTAAGCCACCGGCGCCCGGCCTGCTTTGGTTTTTTAAACTAAGTTATAAGAGTTCTGTATTCTGGATACACGTGCATTGTTGAATATATGTTTTGCAAATATTTACTCCCAGTCTGTGGCTTGCCTTTTCCTTTTCTCAGCAGTGTGTGTTGAAAAACTCAAGTTTCTAATTTCAGTGAAGTCTAATTTATCAATTTTTTTGTTGTATAAAGTTTGTGCTTTTTGTGTCCTATTAAAAAAACTTTAGCCTAAACGCGGTGTCACTAAGATCTACCTGTGTTTTCTTCTAAAAGTGCTGTAGTTTTAACACTTACATTTAAGTCTTACTCATCTCAAGGTAAATTTTGTAAATGTTGTGAAGTAAGGGTCCTTTCGGTTTTTGTTTTTTGAGGTTTTTGTTTAGTTTTGTTTTTGATATGTGGATATTCCATTGTTGCAGCACCATTTGTTAAAAGTATTCATTATAGTCTTACTTTCAGTACTTTCAGTTTTCTTGAATAATCTTTTCCTTTGTGATTTATGCTGTGTGCTGCTTACATAAGAAATTCTTCTCTAAGCCAAGGTCATAGAACGTAGAAAATGCACAGTGTTACAGATGAGAGCAAAGTCTCCAGAGTCAGACTGAGTTTGAATCAACCAAAACAGTTTAAGCCCTTCCCGCTACTTTGTCTGTCTTCCTCTCTGCCTGCTAGAGATAATAATCACAATCCTGAATTCAGTGTTTATTAGCATCCATGCGTGTCTTTGTACTTCTCCACATATGTATGTAGCCATAGACAAATAACATTTTTTTACCAGTTACTCTCCGTGTGACTTTGAGCAAGTTATTTAACATCTCTGAGCCTCAGTTTCCTCATATATGAAATGAGACTAATAATAAGAGTCCGTACCTCAGAGGGTTGTTATGAGAATAAAAGGAAATGTAATACATTTCAAGTGCCTGGCACAGTGGCTGTGCATTAGTCATGGTGGTGGTGGTGATTGTTATCACCATCATTAGATGTTTTTTAAAAGTTTTGTTCTGACCATTATAGTCTATATAGTTATATAGACCATTCTGGTCTGTATAACTTATGTTTTAAGTCTCATTTTATGGCCTACAGAAGACTTGTTTTATGAAAATAAAATTATCACATTATGAAAGTCTTGTTTAATATTCTTTTATTTTGTAGCTAGTGGCGGTTGGCAGGAACCTGAAAATCCTCACACACAACGGGTAAGTAAAGGGTGATCAGAGAGAGGGGATGAAATCAGAAAAAAATTGAGTAAAAGACTGAAGATCTTGCATTTTATCAGTGGATATGACCTGTGTTTAGAAGTCCATACAGTGCTCCTCATTGTAAGACATTGAAATTACACTGTCACTTTTTTCCAGGTGACTTAAGATAATGGAGAATCCTAGGTGTAGCTTTAGTTCTGTATTTGAATTGTGCATCAGGAAAAGGAACCAAGTTTTTGTTTTTTCTTCACACACCTACTAGTGAGTTAAGGTTCCATTTGTTCTCAGATACTCTTAGAAATGTCATAAACAGCCAGGTGTGGTGGCTCATGCCTGTAATCCCAATACTTTGGGAGGCTGAGGCAGGAGGATTGCTTGAGCCCAGGAGTTCAAGACCAGCCTGAGCAATATAGTGAAACCCCATCTCTACAAACAAATTAAAAATTTAGCTGAGCATGGTGGTGCATGCCTATAGTCCCAGCAACTCAGGAGGCTGAGGTGGGAGGATTGCTTGAGCCTAGGTTTTCAAGTCTGCATTGAGCTATGATCATACCACCACACTCCCATCCTAGGCAGCAGAGCAAGGCCATGTCTCAAAAAAAAGAGAAAGAATGCGGTAGAGACAAATGCAGTAGCTTATGCCTATAATCCCCATTACTCAGGAAGCTAAGGCAGGAGGATTGCTTGAGGCCAGGAATAAGTATTTATTTTTATACACATCAAAGCTATACATCTACACACAAGTATTTTTAAATATATGCAAAATATAATATATTTTTTCTCCGAGTAAGAAAGATATCTAAACTAGTAATAGTTGATGCCTGTGATGAGTAGAAAAGTCAACTTGGGCATAAGGGATAGAAGAGAAGCTTTGCTTTTTATTCTTTTCATTTGTATGGTGTTTGAACTTTTTTCTTTTTTTGTTTTTTTGAGACAAGATCTTACTCTGTCACCCAGGCTGGCATGCAATTGCATGATCACAGCTCACTGCAGCCTCAACCTCCTAGGCTCAAGCAATCCTCCCACTTCAGCCTTTAAAAAAAAAATAGGTTTTTGAGGAACACATGGTGTTTGCTCACATGGATAAATTCTTCAGTGGTGATTTCTGAGATTTTGGCATACCTATCACCTGAGCAGGGCACACTGTACCTAATGTATGGTATTTTATCCTCACCCCCCTCCCAGCTTTTCCCAAGTCCCCAGAGTCCATCGTATCATTCATGTGCCTTTGTGTCCTCATAGCTTAGCTCCCTCTTATGAGTGAGAATGTATGATGTTTGGTTTTCCATTCCTGAGTTACTTAGAATAATGGTCTCCAACTCCATCCAGGTTGCTGCAAATGCCATTATTTCATTACTTTTTATGGCTGAGTAGTATTCCATGGTGTATATATACCATATATTCTTTATCCACTCGTTGATTGATGGGCATTTGGACTGGTTTCCTATTTTTGCAGTTGTGAATTGTGCTGCTATAAACGTGCGGGCTAGTGTGTTTTTCATGCAGTGACTTCTTTTCCTCTGAGTAGATACCAGTAGTAGGATTATTGGATCAAGTGGTAGATCTACTTTTAGTTCTTTAAGGACTCTCCATACTGTTTTCCATAGTGGTGTAGTAGTGTACATTTTCACCAACAGTGTAAAAGTGTCCCCTTTTCACCAGATCCATGCCAGCATCTATTTTTTTTTTTTTTTTAATTAAGGCCATTCTTGCAGGAGTGGTTTAGATCTTCATTTCCTTGATCATTAGTGATGTTGACCTTTTCTTTATATGTTTGTTGGCCATTTGTATATTTTCCTTTGAGAAATGTCTATGCATGTCCTCTGCCTACTTTTTGATGGGATTATTTGTTTTTTTCTTGCTGATTTGTTTGAGTGTCTTGTAGATTTGGGATATTAGTCCTTTGTTGAATGCATAGTTTGCAAAGATTTTCTCCCACCCTATGGGTTGTCTTTTTACTCTGCTGATTATTTCATTTGCTGTGCAGAAGCTTTTTAGTTTAAGTTCCATTTGTTTTTGTTTTTGTTGCATTTGCTTTTGGGTTCTTAGTAATGGAGTTTTTGCCTAAGCCAATGTCTAGAAGGATTTTTCTCATGTTATCTTCTAGAATTTTTATGGTTTCAGGTCTTAGATTTAAGTCTTTGATACATCTTGAGTTGATTTTTGTATAAGGTGAGAGATGAGGATCCAGTTTCATTCTTCTACATGTAGCTTGCCAATTATCCCAGCACCATTTGTTGAAAAGGATGTCCTTTCCCCACTTTATGTTTTTGTTTGCTTTGTCAAAGATCAGTTGTCTGTAAGTATTTAGTTTATTTCTGGGTTCTGTATTCTGTTTCATTGATCTGTGTACCTATTTTTATTCCAGTACCATGCTGCGTTGGTGACTATAGTCTTATATTTGAAGTTGAGTAATGTGATGCCTCCAGAGTTTTTCTTTTTGCTTAATCTTGCTTTGGCTATTTAGGCTCTTTTTTGGTTCCATGTGAATTTTAGGATTGTTTTTACTAGTTCTGTGAAGAAGGATGATGGTATTTTGGTGGGAATTGCATTGAATTTGCAGACTGCTTTGGCAGTATGGTCATTTTCACAGTATTAATTGTACCCATCCATGAGCATGGGATGTGTTTCCATTTGTTTGTGTTATCCATGGTTTCTTTCAACAGTGTTTTGTAGTTTTTCTTGTAGAGGTCTTTTACCTCCTTGGCTAGGTATATTCCCAAGTGTTTTGTTTTGTTTTTTGAGTGGGGTTTTTGCGGCTGTTGTAAACAGGGTTGAGTTCTTGATTTGATTCTCAGCTTGGTCTCTGTTGGTGTATAGCAGTGCTACTGATTTCTGTACATTGGTTTTATATCCTGAAACTTTACTGAATTCAATACTTTTTTTTTCTTTTTTTGTGATGAAGTCTCGCTCTGTCAGCCAGACTAGAGTGCAAACTCCAGAGTGGTGCAAACTCGGCTCACTGCAACTTCTGCCTCTCAAGTTCCAGTGATTTCTCCTACCTCAGCCTCCCGAGTAGCTGGGATTACAGGCGCCTACTACCACGCATATTTTTAGTGCAGATGGGGTTTTACCATGTTGGCCAGGCTCGTCTCGAACTCCTGACCTCAAGTTATCTGCCCACCTTGGCCTCCCAAAATGTTGGGATTACAGGCATGAGCCACTGCACCCAACCTTTTATTGAATTCATTTATCAGATTTAGGAGCTTTTTGGATAAGTCTCTAGGGTTTTCTAGGCATATGAGCATATCATCGGCAAACAGCAACAGTTTGACTTCCTCTTTACTGATTTGGATGCCCTTTATTTCTTTCCTCGTCTGATTGCTCTGGCTAGGGCTTCCAGTGCTGAATAGAAGTGGTAAAAGTGGGCATCCTTGTCTTGTTCCAGTTCTCAGTGGGAATGTTTTCAACTTTTCCCTGTTCAGTATAATGTTGGCTGTGTGTTTGTCATAGATGGCTTTTATTTAAGGTATATTCCTTCTATGCTGATTTTGCTGAAGGTTTTGCTCATAAAGGATGCTGGATTTTGTCAAATGCTTTTTCTGTGTCTATTGAGATGATCCTGCAATTTTTGTTTTTAATTCTGTTTACGTGGTGTATTACATTTATTGACTTGGGTATGTGAAACCATCCCTGTATCCCTGGTATTAAACCTACTTGATCATGGTGTATTATCTTTTTGATATGCTGTTGGATCCAGTTAACTAGTATTTTGTTAAGGATTTTTGCATCTATGTTCATCAGGGATATCTGTCTGTAGTTTTCTTGTTTTGTTATGTCCTTTCCTGGTTTTGGTACAAGGGTGATGCTGAATTCATAGAATGATTTAGGAAGGATTCCCTCTTTATCTTTTGGAATAGTTTCAATAGGATTGGTACAAATTATTCTTTGAATGTCTGATCGAATTCACTTGTGAATCCATCTGGTCCTAGATGTTTTTTTGTTGGCAATTTTTTTAAATTAGCATTTCTTTTTTTTTTTTTTTTTGAGACGGAGTCTCGCTCTGCCGCCCAGGCTGGAGTGCAGTGGCCGGATCTCAGCTCACTGCAAGCTCCGCCTTCCGGGTTTACGCCATTCTCCTGCCTCAGCCTCCCGAGTAGCTGGGACTACAGGCGCCGCCACCTCGCCTGGCTAGTTTTTTGTGTTTTTAAAGTAGAGACGGGGTTTCACCGTGTCAGCCAGGATGGTCTCGATCTCCTGACCTCGTGATCCGCCCGTCTCGGCCTCCCAAAGTGCTGGGATTACAGGTTTGAGCCACCACGCCCGGCCTAAATTAGCATTTCAATCTCACTGTTTGTTACTGGTCTGTTCAGAGTTCCTGTTTCTTTCTGGGTTAATCTAGGAGGGCTATATATTTCCAGGAATTTATCCATCTCCTTTAGGTTTTCCAGTTTGTGTGCATAAAGGTGTTCATAGTAGCCCTGAATGATCTTTTCTATTTCTGTGGTATCAGTTGTAATATCTCCCATTTCATTTCTAATTGAGCTTATTTGGATCTTCTCTCATCTTTTCTTGGTTAATCTCACTAACATTCTATCAATTTGGTTTATCTTTTCAAAGAACCAGCTTTTTGTTTCATTTTTCTTTTGTATCGTTTCTTTTGTTTCAATTTCATTTAGTTCTGCTCTCATCTTTGTTATTTCTTTTCTTCTGCTGGGTTTGGGTTTGGTTTGTTCTTGTTTCTCTAGTTCCTTGAAGTATCATCCTAGATTTTCTATTTGTACTCTTTTAGACTTTTTGATGTAGGTATTTAATGCTGTGAACTTTCCTGTTAGCACTGCTTTTGCTGTATCCCAGAGCTTTTGATAGCTTGTGTCTCGCTATTATTCAGATCAGAGAGTTTTTAAATTTCCATCCTGATTTCATTGTTGACCCAGTGAGCATTCAGAAGATTATTTAATTTCCATGTATTTGCATCATTTCGAGCGTTCCTTTTGGAGATGATTTTCCATTTTATTCCACTGCTGTCTGAGAGAATACTTGATATAATTTCAGTTTTCTTGAATGTATTGAAACGTGTTTTGTGGCCTATCGTATTTTCTATCTTAGAGAATATTCTATGTGCTAATGAATAGAATGTATCTTCTGCAGTTGTTGGGTAGAATGATCTGTAAATATCTGTTAAGTCCGTTTGTTCTAGGGTATAGTGTAAGTCCATTGTTTCTTTGTTGACCATCTACCTTGATGACCTGTCTAGTGCTGTTGGTGGAGTGCTGAAGTCCCCCACTATTATTGTGTTGCTTTCTATCTCATTTCTTAGGTGTAGTAGTAATTGTTTTATAGATTTTGGAGCTCCAGTGTTAGGTGCATATATATTTAGGATTGTGATATTGCATATATATTTAGAATGTGCATATATATTTAGATCGTGATTGTGTATATTTAGGATTGTGATACTAGTCCTGTTGGACTAGTCCTTTTATGATTATATAATGTCCCGCTTTGTCTTTTTTAACTGTTGTTGCTTTAAAGTCTGTTTTGTTTGACATAAGAATAGCTACTCCTGCTCACTTTTGGTGTCCATTTGCAAGGAATATCTTTTTTTTATCCCTTTGCCTTAAGTTTATATGAGTCCTTAGGTGTTAGGTGACTCTCTTGAAGACAGCAGATACTTGGTTGGTAAATTGTTCTCCATTCTGCTGTTCTATATTTTTTAAGTGGAGCCTTTAGGCCATTTACATTTAACATTAGTACTGAGTATTCTATTAATTGTGCTAGTTGTTGCCTGAATACTTAGTTTTTTTTTCATTGTGTTACTGTTTTATAGGCCCTGTGAGACTTAAACTTTAAGGAGGTTCTATTTTGATGTGTTTCAAGGTTTTGTTTCAAGATTTAGAACTCCTTCTTAGCAACTCTTGTAGTGCTGGCTTGGTACTGGCAAATTCTCTCAGCATTTGTGCATCTGAAAAAGACTTTATCTTTCATTCATTTACGAAGCTTAGTTTCACTGGATACAGAACTCTTGGTTGATAATTGTTTTGTTTAAGGAGGCTAAAGATAGGACCCCAGTCCCTTCTAGCTTGTAGGGTTTCTCTAAGAAATCTGCTGTTAACCTGATAGGTTTTCCTTTATCGGTTACCTGATGCTTTTGCCCCATAGCTCTTAAGGTTCTTTCCTTTGTCTTGACTTTAGATAACCTGATGACTATGTGCCTAGGTGATGATCTTTTTGTGATGAATTCCTCGGGGGTTCTTTGAGTTTCTTGTATTTGGATGTCTAGATCTCTAACAAGGCCAGGGAAGTTTTCCTCTGTTCTTTCCTCAAGTAAGTTTTCCAAACCTTTAGATTTCTCTTCTTCCTCAGGAACACCAATTCTTAGTTTAGGTAGCTTAATCCCAGACTTCTTAGAGGCTTTATTTATTATTATTATTATTATTCTTTTTTCTTTGTCAGATTTGGTTAATTCAAAAGCCTTGTCTAAGTGTGTCTTTCATTTCTAAAATTGTGATTGTTTATTATTTATGCTGTCTGTTTCTCTGGAGATTTTTTTCGTCCATAACCTGTATTTTTTTTTTATTTCCTTAAGTTGGTTTTCACCTTTCTCTGGTGCCCTTTTGAGTAGCTTTTTGAGTAACTTAATAGTTGGCCTTCTAAATTCTTTTTCTGACAATTGAGAGATTTCTTCTTGGTTTGGATCCATTGCTGGTGAGCTAGTGTAATCTTTTTGGGTTGTTAAAGAACCTTGTTTTGTCATATTACCAGAATTGTTTTTCTGGTTCCTTCTCATTTGGGTAGACTATGTCAGAGGAAAGATCTGAAGCTTGAGGGCTACTGTTCAGATTCTTTTGTCCCGTGGCATGGGTCCTTGATGTGGTGCTCTCCCCCTTCCCCTAGGAAGGTGGTTTCCTGAGAACTGGACTGCAATTATTGTTACTGCTGCTCTGGGTCTAGCCACCCAGCAGAGCCACCAGTCTCCGAGCTGGTACTAGGGAGTGTCTGCAAAGAATCCTGTGATGCAGTGCATCTTCAGGTCTCTCCATTGTGGATACCAGCACCTGCTCTGGTGGAGGTAGCTGGGGAGTGAAGTGGACTCTGTGAGGGTCCTTGGTTGTAGTTAGGTTTCGTGTGCTAGTTTTCTTTAATGCTTGGTTGTGCTAGCAGTGAATTACCACGTGGACAGACTCAGGACCTCTGGTTAGCCAGGATGTTGCAGGTGGTGGAATTAGCTGCTATTTTCTCCTTTTGAGGGCAGGGTTGTTCGTTTATGAGTTGCTGTAATGGCTTGAGTTGGTTGGCCTTCAGCCAGGAGGTGGCGCTTTCAAGAAAGTATCAGCTGCAGTAGTGTGGTGGGAATACAAGCTTGCCCTAAGGTTGCCTGGATAAGTATTTCGGTTTCTCAGGTGATTGGTGGGAACATAAGACTCCCAAGAGTTTACAGTCTTTTGTCTTGGGCTACCAGGGCAGGTAGAGAAAGACCATCAGATGGGGGCATGTCTGAGCTCAGACTCTACTTGGTCAGGGTTTGCTGTGGCTGCCGTGGAGGATAGTTGTGTGGTTCTCAGGCCAATGAAGTTATGTTCCCAGGGGCGTTATGGCTGCCTCTGCTGTGTCATATAGGTGGCCAGGGAAGTAGGAGAAAGCCAGCAGTGACAGGCCTCACCCAGCTCCCATGCAGCCAGCAAGGCCAGCCTCACTCCCACCATGCCCCACCAACAGCATGGAGTTTGCAGGGCCAAGATCTTGCCTTCACAAGCCTACCTGCTGAGAAAGCAAGCCAGCCTTTTGGACCCCATGCCTTCTCAGCTGCTGTGGCTTATGTGCTCATATCTGTGCTTCCCCTTCGCACCCTCCCCATCTTGATTCTGCCCAGGAAAATTTGCTCTCGGTCAAAATTATTACAAAGTTCACCTGGAAGTTTCTGTCTCCATGTGGTCCTTCCTCAATTCCACTGGCAGCTCTCCCCTAGGACCCCTGTGAAATTAAAGTCAGAAATGGCTTCCCTGGGCTTCCCTGGGAACCGTGAGTGCCTACAGGCCTCTTCCTGCTGTTGCTTCTTCTACTTTTATATTTCACTCGGCTCTCTAAATTTGTTTCAGCACTAGGTAAGGTTAAATTTTTCTCCTATGATCTGAATTTGTAGGTTCTCCAGTGAGGATGTATGTTTGAAGGTGGATTTTCCCCCTCTCACACTTTGGGCCCTCACGGTTTTTCTGCTGTCTCATGGATTTTGCAGCAGCAAGCCACTTCTTTCAAAGGGTCTGTGAATTCTTTCAGTTTTCCTAGTATGTTCCTGCAGTAGTTCTTGGAGTAAAAATTCACAGTGTGAGTCTCCACAAGTTGTTCTGTCTGTCTGAGGAGAAGCTGCAAGTTAGTTCTGCCTCCTATCCGCCATTTCTTTTTCGCCACCTCATCCTCTTGAGTAGCTGGGACTGTAGGCATATGCCACCATGCCCAGCTAATTTTTGCATTTTTTTATAGAGACAAGGTCTCACTCTGTTGTCCAGGCTGGTTTTGAACTCCTGGCCCCAAGTGATCTATCCACCTCAACCTCCCAAAGAGCTGGAATTATAGGCGTGAGCCACCATGCCCAGCCTTGTTTGGACTTTTTATGATTAATATATATTGCTTTTATAATTAAAATGTATTTAAAAAATTTTTAAGTGTGATGGAGTTGGGGAATAAAATACAGTATAAAATGTCATGTTTTTAGAAATAAATGTCCTGTGGCCATGCAGAAAAAAAATCAGAGCAGTCATGAGGGGAAATAAGTAATGAAATAAGAGAGCAAGAAATTTCCGAGCCTCTTCATTGCCCATTTCATCCTGTCCTTGAACTTCAGTTTTCCATTTCACTTCGGACAACAAATCACATAACAAAGAAAAATTCTCTTTGAAGAAAAAGGGCAAACTTGCCCATCTTAATTTGTCTTCTCTATTCATTATGTCTCTAATCAGTGTAGTTGATTAATTTGGTATGTTTTCTGTTAGCTTTTTTGTGTACCGAGTCTGTGATTTTTTTACAGATGAACAAATTGATTGAATATTACCAGCAGCTTGCTCAGAAAGAGAAGGTTGAGCGAGATCGCAAGAAACTGGCACGACGTAGAAACTATATGCCTCTGGCTTTTTCGGTGAGAATTTGGTACTAAAATGATTTACAAGACCTGTAGGCCTAAGAACAGTGATCATTTCAGAAAATGGCCATTGTCCTAGAGTCCTGAATGGTGGGTAGCAGAGAGGAGGATTCTTCAAATGATAGACGTTTAAGTCCGATAGTTAAATTATAGACGTTTAAGTCCGATTTGCTATATCAATAGTTCTGTTTGAGTTATTTGGGTTTTAAGGACATTTGTGTTCCTTTCTCCGTCACCCCCCTTTATCTTCTGATTATTTCCCCAGAAAGACTGTTAATTTTGTAGGCACTGCAGAGCTCTACATACAGCTTTTTTATTACAGAAAGTCTGAGAAAAAGGAGGTGGGCAAATGGTAGATTTTAGTCGTATTACTCCCGTAGCCCACCTTTGACATCCTGACAGTAGTGGTTTCTCAGCTTTAGTTATAATAACTTGTTTAACATCCTCACCTGTTTCTCCAAGATGAAAAACACTGACTTTTTAACATAGTGCACTTGTGTGGGTAAATAGTAACATATGCAAGTAGAATTTTTGGTAAGAATTATTTATGAGAGTCATTCTCTACCAGTTTATGTACTGCTAGTAAGAAGAAAGAGATTAGGATTTGGAGTTTTTGTTATTTTCCCCTGAGTTTTATTTGCTCTCATAGTACAGTTTGTTTTCTGTGTGCTTGCTTGGGGCCCAGCAGATTGACATTCAATAAATAACATTTATTGAATGGCAATGATGTGTCAAGCTCTGTGCTAAACACTTTACATGTATTACTTTATTTAATCCTCACAAAAATCCTGTGGAGTATCATATCCCCATTTTATACTTGAGGAAATGAGACCTAGTTAAGCAACTTGTCATACTGCATCCACATGAAAATTAGTTAAGTCATTGAAACCCTAAGGATTGGTAAAGTCCATATAAAAATACCTAGATTGAGCCAGGTGCAGTGGCTCACGCCTGTAATACCAGCACCTTGGGAGGCTGAGGCAGGAGGATCACTTGAGGTCAGGATTTCAAGACCAGTCTGGCCAACATGATGAAACCCTGTCTCTACTAAAAATACAAAAAATTAGCTGGACATGGTGGCGCATGCCTGTAATCCCAGCTACTTGGGAGGCTGAGGCATGAGAATTGCTTGAACCAGGAGGCAGAGGTTGCAGTGAGCCAAGATAGTGCCACTGCACTCCTGCCTGGGTGACAGAGTGAGACTCAGTCTCAAAAAAAAATCTAGATTAGAATTTAAAAACGTTAACACTTGCAGAGCACCCTCATTTGCAAAAAGAAGTGAATTTTTCTGAATAGTACAGTGGTACAGTCCTCATATGCACCAATGTATGTTATATTTAGAGGTAGAATTTTAATTAAATGAATTATTTTTCCAATTTTCCCATATAACCTGCCTGCTATATGCGTTTGCTTCTATCTTATGCTGCATTTTTTGTCTCTGTTGCAACCTGCTGCTATTTTGGGGCTCTACAGCAACATACTATTCATGTAGTGGTAAGTTCTACTTTATGATTCTTGCTGACCCTGAAGAAGTTAGCAGATGACCACTGGTGTTCCAGGAAGACGTCTGTTGTGTATCTTAGACACGCCACATAGCTCTTGCCTAGGCCGTAGCTTAGATATTTTTAGATTGCTAATAGAAGCTCACATTTGGTTCATTTTTACTGTATTAATGTAGTTTCAATCTCCATGTTTAGTGCTGTTACTATTTTAAGAATAGAATCATGATGTGGGGCTACAAATTGCTTTCTTTAAAAGAAGCCTTTAAATTAGCTTTTTTTTTTTTTTTGGCTTATTTCCCTGAGCTTCTCATGCTATCCTACCCAAAATTCTTTCTTTTGATAAATAGGGTGTGTAACTGTGGGCTTTCTAATAGGAATTTCTGAACTTTGTTTAGGACAAATATGGTCTTGGAACCAGGCTTCAGCGACCACGAGCTGGTGCATCCATCAGTACCCTTGCTGGACTTTCGTAAGTTTAGACATGAAATGACTTTGAGGAGAACAGCAGGTATCAAAATGAATAGCAAAGAAATGAGATTACACACACACACACACACACACACACACACACAGTTGCCAATGGAAAAGAAGATTCTCATACTTAGAAAAGACCTACGCTGAACAGCTATTCTATGACACAGGAATACTTCCGTTCAATTATTGATATCATAGACTGAGGATAATCAGGCGGATCCTTGAGAAATTAACTGATTTTTTGGTCTTATTTTGTTTTGTTTTGTTTTATCTTTTAGCCTTAAAGAAGGAGAGGACCAGAAAGAGATAAAGATTGAGCCAGCTCAGGCTGTGGATGAAGTGGAACCTCTACCTGAAGACTATTATACAAGACCAGTAAATTTAACAGAGGGTAATTTTCTTTGTTTCTCTACTTTGTTTCTAGTCTCCATCTAATTCTGTTTTTGTTATTTATATATCAAGTGATTTGAGATTTTTAATGGAATAGTTGTTAGTAGTAAAGTGATATGTATGTAGAAAATAAAACAGCTGTAATAGAAGTAATTGTTTGAAATCTAAAATGCCTGTCAAATTTCTATATTTTCATTTTTTATGAACAACACTGTTCATACTTTCAATACATAAAAGTAATGCTTTGTGTAATTACTACTACATAAAAGTCTGATTTTGAAAGTCACTGTAAACTAAGCCTGTTTTCTGCCTTTCTTTCTAGTAACCACCCTTCAGCAGCGTCTGTTACAGCCTGACTTCCAGCCAGTCTGTGCTTCACAGCTATATCCTCGCCACAAACATCTTCTGATCAAACGGTCCCTGCGCTGCCGTGTAAGTATTCCATTCTGTAGAATGGCCATTTGTACAAGAGGAAAGCAGAAACAAATGTGGTTGGTGTCTGACCAATGTCAAAACCTTTGGAATGTAGTAAATACAGAAAATACTTGTAGAGAACATACTAATTGCCCAGGCACTGTTTTAAATGCTTTCAATGTAAACAACTCTTACAACTCTGTGAGGTAGGTACTACTGTTAAACCTGTTTTACAGATGCAGAAATGAAATATCTGAAGGTTAGGTACATAGGGTTAACCCCTAAAAGAATAGTGAAAGAGTATATAACTTTTAGGCTAGTGTTCAGGCTCAGGGAGGACCAATAAAAAAATAATCAATTTAAAAGAAAGCAAGAAAAAGGAAAAATCAGCAAAATCCAGGCTCTGGTAATCTACAGAACAAATGACAGAGTTTCTTCAATAAATAAATTGTAAAAACAAGATGGAAAGGAAACCTTTTAGATGAGTACTATCCAACAGAACTTTCTCTGGTAATGAAAGTATTGTGTCTGTGCAGTCTCGCCTGATAGCCACTAGGCACATGTGGCTATTGAGCACATGAAATGTGATAGTGCAGCTGAGGTACTGAGTCAGTCTTTAATTTCATTTAAATAACCACATGTCACTGGTGGCTAATGTTATGTAATCATTCTCGAGATTAGAAGACACTTAAAAGTTTACCAGCCAAACACAACATGTAGATTTTATGTAGATTCAGATTCAAACAAAACAGAAAGAAAGGGCCCAGGGGAGGAGGGAAGAAGGGAAAGAGGAAAGAAGGAAAGAAAAATTTGTGAAATCTTTGAGAAAATGTAAACACTGGTAGGATTTTTGATGCTATTAAAGAACTATTGGGCAGGGCACAGTGACACGCACTTGTAGTCCCAGCTACTCTGGAAGCTGAGTCAGGAGAATCCCTTGAGCCTGAGGAGTTTGAGACTGTAGTGTGTGATGATCATACCTGTGAGTAGCCACTGCACTCCAGCCTGGGCAACACAGTAAGACCCTGACTCTTTAAAAAAAAAAAAAAAATTATTTTTTCTTTTTAGGAATAATGATAGTACTATTTTTAGTTGTTTTGTTTTTTGTTTTGTTTTTTAATGTCTTTATCTTTTGGAGAATACAGAAATATTTATGGAGGAAATGACATGATCTCTGATATTTGTTGCAAAATAATGAGGGATGAGGAGTGGGTAAGAGTATAAATGAAACAAGATTGGCCATTGTTGCTAATTTTTGATAACAAGTTGCTGATTCTTTTTGTTTGTTTAACCTGGGAGCATAGATTCAAGTCCTGCATATGTATTCCCACGTTGATAATTGTTGAAGTTGGGTGATGGGTACCTAGAGATTTGTAATACCATCCTATATTTTTGTACATGTTAGAAAATTTTTGTAATGAAAACCCTTTATGAAAAGAAAGAAAAAGAATGGGCAAAGGAACATCGAATTGGTGGTTCAAATAGAAGACCTGGGCTCATGCCTGTAATCACAACACTTTGAGAGGCCAAGGCAGGAAGATCACTTGAGCTCAGGAGTTTGAGATCAGCCTACGCAACATAGTGAGACCCTGCCTCTACCAAAAAACAAACAAACAAAAAAAGCCAGTGTGGTGGTTCACACCTGTAGTCCCAGCAAGTCGGGAGGCTGAGGCAGGAGAATTGCTTGAGCCCAGGAGGTTGAGGCTGCTGTGAGCAGTAATCACACCACTGCACTCCAGCCTGGGTGACAAAGCAAGACCCTATCTGTTAAATAAAATAAAAATAAAAAAAGAATGTGTGTAGTAAGATAGTAGATTAAAATCCAGATGTATCAGTATTTACATTAAATACAGTGAACTAAATGCTTCCATTAAAAGACAAACATTGTCAGTCTAAATAATAAAGCAAATTGCAGTGACCCATCTATATGTTTATTACAAGAAGTGCAAACAGGAGAACTCAGAAAGGTTGAAAGTAGAGAGAAGTGGGAAAAATATTGGACAAACACTAATTTTTTTAGAAGAGGGATAATTTGTTTTAAAAAAAGATTCAATTTACAAAGAAGATATAACCATCTAAAGTCATACGCACCGAAAAACAGACTCAAAATATATAAAGCAACATTTGAGAAAATTACATAAATGGACAAATCGTTTTGGGAAATTTTGACATCTCTCAGTAACCTAGAGAACAAATAGATGAAAATCAATAAGAATCTAGAACATTTGGAGAATTTAACTAGCAAACTTGACCAAATGAGCATATATAGACCCCTGTACGCAATATCTGCAGAGTATTTGCACTCTTTCCAAGTACATACAGAACACTTATAAAGGTTGACTATATACTGGGTTATTAGAAAGTAAGTATGAACATTTTTCAGAAGATGAATTATTTTTTTCAGTTAAAAGAAAGTTTTTATTAACAAGAAAAGATTTCTTTAAATCATATTTATACTTTAATAATAATACATAGACTAAGATGCCCGATAACACAAGGTTTTCTCTTTTGAACACTTTATTTCCATTTAGTACTCTTAAATATGTTTGCTTGTTGCGTGTTTATATTTTAACAGGTAAAAGTTATGAATTACCAGGTATTTGGCTACCTAACTACACTGGAAAATGAAAATTTATAGAATTTTATCATTAGATCAGAGTTTTAAAAATCAAAGGATAAGGATTTGTTTAAAATCTTTTAACATTAGGGCATTATACCTTTTTCGGAACAAATATAAATTGCAGAAATTATACAAGGCAATTTTTTATCAGATATCAATATTTAACAATGCTTTATTTAGCTGAAATGTTATTTCAGTTGAAAAAACTATCTCCAGTTACAAAAAAAAATCAGGAACTTCATTGGATTTAATCTGCTTTAGAAATGTCCTAAGAAGCCTTAAATATTTTAAGTAGAAAAAAAAATTTTTAAATAGTATGTTATACTATTATTGTGGTTTATATACATATATTAAATGGTCTCTTATAGGAAACATGACTGGAAGTTTATCACATTAAACACTGTAAAATTAAAGGCAAGAGCTAATTAACTTTTAGCAAAAGTACTCTGTATGCAACAGTTGCAAATATCAAAGCTATTATTTACCAGTTAATAATTGCCTGATATAAAATATAAACAAGGTACATTTACTGGATTGTTTTCAGTTTGCAGCTGCCCTCAAATATCCCAGATAAGGATTTCTCATAAATTAAAGCTGCAGTACAATTCACTTAGTGGTTAGTTAGGCAGATCCTCCCCGCCATTATCCTTGTTCTTCCCCACCACCCCCAACCCCTGCAGTGGCACCATATTATTAAAAACATAAGTACCTGGGGTTTGTGCTTTAGATCAAGACATCATTTGCATAATTTCAAATGATAGACAACTTTTCATGTAAAAATGATGTTTTGTGGTCACAGTTACTTCAAAAAGTAATTGTTTTCAAATAACCTGACGTATCATACCTTAGCAATTACAAAACCATGATTTGGACACATGGCATTTGTAAGGTAGACAAACGTGCACTGCTAAAAGATGTGAACAGCTGTTCTTCTGCTTAAGCTTAGAGTACTGTGAAACTTGGGTAATGACTTTATTTTTTCAATTAGCATAACCAGCCCATGGTACAGCATACTAAATCACAAAGTACAAATCCAAGGAAGGTAATACCTTTGCTAAGTTGCAGGATTTTGGCAAATCAATACAGGTCTCTTTAATATGATAAAACCATATTTTTATGGGAGTCATATATAACTTTAGTGATAATTTTCACTCCAAAAATATTTAAGTGCCAGCTGATACTATTAAAAACATTATAATGGTTTTTAATAGCAGAGCAAGTTATTTTATACAAATTAATGTATTTTAAACTACACAGTATCTCTTTTTAAGTGAACTCCCTTATGCAAGCTGTTAAGAGTATCCAGCTGCAGAACAGTGCATGTCTCGAGGAGGTGGCTTCGCTCAATTGTGGGGTGGGTACAAAGCCAGGGAGAGTTCCAGTGTGTTGAAAAGCTTTAAAATTCTATTTTAAGGAGATTCATTGTCAGTACCAATTTCCAAGGACTTCTTTAAAAATTGTTAAATTTTCACGTAAATACTGGAACCCTCAAAATTAGACAATGAATATTCAAACAACGTTCATTTCAGATGATCCCTTATATTTAGAAGCCCTGCATCTTGTTGTTTTGATCAAAAGTCATATAGCCTTACACCAGCTTATTTTTTAAAAAATTCTACTTAAAATGTAGATTTGTCGGGAGACTGAGACAGGAGAATTGGTTGAACTCAGGAGGCGGAGGTTGCAGTGAGCCAAGATTACACCATTGTACTCCAGCCTGGGCAACAAGAGCAAAACTTGTCAAAAAAATAAATAAATATAGGTTTGTTTTAAATAACAAAATATATAGTCAGCTTGGAGAGACCTGGGGCACCACCCAATATTGTCTACCAAGTTTCATGATAGTTTCTTTGCACATGCTGCTGCTGCCATTGGAGTCCCTGTGCTTTCTCTTGCTGAGGCTGTCAGCTGGAAGATGAAATGATTAAAGTATATTATTTGATCACAATGTAGTTAAGTTAAAAATCAGTAATTTCTTTATAGCAAAACTTACAGGATACAACTAAGGCCATGCTTAGCTATGCAGTATATATTAGAAAAGAAGAAATATTAAAAGATTAGTGACGTCAGAATCCATTTCAAGAAGTTAGGGAAAAAAACCAGCAAAGTCCAGAGAGCAGGTGTTAATAAATTAAGAAACCAACATAAAATACAACAAATTAAGATAAAATACAATAAATTAAGAAACCAATGTAAAATACAAAAGAGCAACAGAATCAGAAGTTGATTTCTTAAAAAAGATTAGTAATAGAAATAGTTATATATAAATTAATATAAATTTATATAAATATGGTTATATAATGCACCATTAATATAGTAATATCTACCAAAAGTAAAGTTACCTTTTGTCTCATCAACTTCACTTTTAGGAATCTACTTTGCACCTCCACATATACAAACCAAAATATGCAGAGATTATGGTATATCCACACAACGAGTACTATAAATTTATTTAAAAGAATGCATTAATATGGGATACATTTTTAAATGCAAAAAGCAAAGTGCATGGTAGGTATGCAACTTTTGTATAAAAAAGGAGGGAAAGTACAAACGTACATATAAACAAAAGTGTGTCTATATATATGCAGACATAGACCCATGCATGTGAGAAAATTTGTTATATGCTAAATATGGCATTGTAGATCACTGGGGAAAGAATAGGCTATTACATTTTGCTAGGTCAAGTGATTATATGGAAGAAAATAAAATTGGGTTGCTACCTCACCCTACACAGAAGTTAATTTCAGGAATGTTGGAAATTTGAAGAGCCAAACTTCTAGAAGAAAATACAGGAGAATACCTTCATGACTTCTGGGTAGGGGAATGTTTCATAAATAAGACAGAAAATCACAAACTATAATGTAAAGTTATATATTTTACTTCATTAAAAGTAAAACTTGTACCCTCATGCCAAAGAAAACCCATAAAGAAATGAAAAGATAAGCTGCAGACTGAGAAAAGTCGTTTGCAAGGTATATTATTAACAATAGATTAATATCTAGAGTATGTAAAGAACTTCAGCAAATCAGCAAGAAAATAAACCAGCAGATCCTCACATTCAGTTTATGGCAGTGGAAATCCCAATAGCCAATAAATATGAAGGATATTCAGATTTATACACTAATCAGGGAAATGTACATTAAAATTGCAATGAGAAAACAAAAAATTAACTGCAATGGAATATCATTTCATAATCGTATTAGTTATATTGCAGTATCCTTTAAAATAGCAAATGTATACGCCCTTTGATCTACTCTTAGGAAATTGTCTTACAGATACTTAGACACTTAGGAAATAGATTAATGTACTAGAACACTCATTGCTGCATTACTTACAGTAGCAAAATAATGGAAACATCCTGAATGTCCATCATTTTCTATCTTATGTAAGTTATAGAAATTGTTACAGTGGGACACAGAGGCTCCTCTATATGTACTGACATGGAATTAATTCCAAGATAGAGTAAATGAAAAAAGAGAATAAATATAAACTGTTCCCTTTTGTGTTATTGTGAAAAAAGCAACGTGATGTATGCTTGTACTTTTATGTGCATAGGCTATCTGGGGAGAGGAACAAGGGGACAGACAGATAATGGGTAATCTTTACACTGGACACCTTTTTTGTACTGCTAAAAAAAATTTAACCAGGTGTATGTAGTATGTATTTAAGAAAGTAGTAAATAATTATTACTGTCCCAGTGCAGTGGCTCATGCCTGTAATCCCAGCACTTTGGGAGACCAAAGCAGGAAGATTACTTGAGCCCAGGAGTTGGAGGCTGTTGTGAGCTTTGATTGTGCCACTGCACTCCAGCCTGGGTGGCAGAGTGATACCCTATCTCAAAAATAATCATTGTTACTGTACTTTAAAGCATGGGATCTGGAATTTTACTACCTGGATTTAAATCACAGTGTCCATTATTATTGGCTCTATGAAGTTGCGCAGGTTACTTACCCTTCCTGTATACCATTTTCATCATCTATAATATGGCAACCTTAATATAATGCCTATACCTAGCTCATAAAGTTGATGTGATACTTAAATCCAGTTAAACCAGTGAGCACGTTGTTTTGCACATACAGTAAGTACTCAGTATGTGTTAGTTATTTTAGTAGTTTTTAAGTACTACAGAGGTATAATAATATTGGATAGTGTGGTTGCACATATCAGGAAGTGCAAACATCTTTTATAAACTTTGGTTGCTATACACTATTTCAAAAACGTATGGTCTTATATCAATAAAACAGAACAAAATTCTCGTAAATGCTATCCTTCTGAATTTAGCAGCTCTATGGATCAACAAAGTGTGTTGTTGTCTTCTGATACATACTGTATTTGTTTTCTTTCTAGAAATGTGAACATAATTTGAGCAAGCCAGAATTTAACCCAACATCAATCAAATTCAAAATCCAATTGGTTGCTGTGTGAGTATTTTGGGATTGGTGTTTTCAGTTACTGTTTTGAGTTATTTTGGTTTATTCTTCTTCCCCAGTGTGAAGTGTGTTTACTCTTGGCCCTCCAAAAAAATAATAATAATTACATCAAAATCATCTTGACATCTGTTCCGGTTTAGGTTTTGAATTTAGTTACATGCCACGAAAACCGTTTAAGATAAATAGATTCAGGGGTATTGGGATCAGGGACACAGTGGCCCAGTATGATCTGGAGCAACAAGGTATGTTAATTATTTGGTGGAAAGTTACTAGTCATTGTTACAAATTACAAAGTGTCTGCGTTTGGGAATAATCCTTCAAAAACTTAAAAAATAATAAAGTATAGCTGATTGAAGAGTATTCCTGTAACAATGTTCATTTTACTTACCTGTGTTATAACACTTCATTGGCTGGGATGAAAGTGATTAAGTTAGTGTTAACTCTCTGGGACTTGTGAGTAGGAGAGAATTTTGTGTATAAAAACTACCTATCAGGCTATCTGAATGGTCCTAATTAGAGACAAATACTGCCACTTAAAACTTACCCAGTGTTCATCTAATTAAATGTAAACTTTTCGTGTCTCATCATACTTTTCTAATACATACATTTTTTAAATTACATGGCAAACAAAAATATTTTCAAAAATTAGGAAAGTATTGTCTAGCTTTGGAGTAAGAGAGCCCTTCTTTTGCAAGACAGGAAACCCAGAAGCCATTAAAGAAAAGAAACACCTTTGACCTTAGCAAAAAGAAATCGTGGTTATAAAAGATGAAATTAAAGCCAGGTGCAGTGGCTCACACTTGTGATCCCAGCACTTTGGAAGCCTGTCAGGAGGATCACTTGAGCCCATGAGTTGAAGACCAGCCTGGACAATGTAGTAAGACCTCATCTCTACAAAAAAATTTTAAAATGAGCCAGGTGCAGTGGCATGCACCTGTAGACCTAGCTACTTGGGAGGCTGAGGTGAGAGGACCCCTTGAGCCCAGGAAGTCGAGGCTGCAGTGAGCTATGATTGTGCCACAGCACTGCAGCCTAGACAATGGAGCAGGACTCTCTCTCTTAAGGAAAACAATTTTAAAAAGACAAAATTAGCAACAAAGTCCTGAGACAAATAGTAAAGCAAGAAAGAATATTTGGCAGTCGTGACAAACTAAAGTTTAATATCCCGGGCATAGAGAATTCCCAGAAATTGAAAAGATAAAAATAGGGAGGCAGTAAAGAGGAATGTGGAACAAGGGATTTGGACAGGTAGCTTATGGAAGAGGAATTTCAAATGGCCAGAAGATACACTGTATATGGAAAGAAACCAAGACTGGATAGGAAAAGTTTTAAAAAGTAATTAGCATCTAGTACTTATGAGAATGTGGGTAAACACATATTTGCACACATTGTTGGCAGAATCTTGAATTGCTAGTCTTTTTGGAGAGTGGTCTGGAAATATCAAAACAAATTACGTAGACCTTTTAACCCAACAGTACTATTTCAGGAATGTATTCTGTAGAAACAAAAGCACCAATATATAAAGATACATTTCCAAAGATGAGTATTAGAATATTTTAATGGCAAAAAACTGCAAACAGTTTAACCAACAGTTAAATCAGTGTCAAACTGATTAACCATTAACAAGGAAATAGTTGGTTAAATTGAGATAACTTGTACTGTGGAATATTATGCAGCAATTAAAAATAAGTATTAGGAAACAAAAATGTTGTTTGTTTTTGTTTGCATGAAGTGCAATGTCTGGTGAGTTAAGAGGAGCTAGGAGGGCCAGGTGGAGGGTCTGTCACTTACTGTTTTTGTCTAAACTTGTTTCCCTCCTCTCTGAAATAGGAATAATGCCTTCTTCTTGGGGTTCTTAAAAAGAATCAAATGAGTAATTATGTTTGCAAATGCCTTGTAACTCAACATAAAACATGTTCACTTTCCTAACTATTCTTATTTAATACATGATTGGTTAGGAATAGAGAAACCTACAGAAATGGCACATGTGAAGTCTGGGATGAACTGCTTTCTTACTTAAGAATTACACTCATTACAGAAACCCTGAATGGCAGCCTGTGCTTAGTATCAGTTTCTTAAGCTTTTTTAAGAAGTTTTTCTTAAGAAACTTGTTTTTTTCTTAAGAAGTGGTTTTTTCCTGACATCATTTTAGAATTGCCTGGCTCTCTTACTACAGATTCTCTGAGGCCAGGTGTTTGCCTCATGCCTGTAATTTCAACACTTGGGGAGGCCAAGGCAGGAGGATTGCTTGAGTCTTAGGAGTTCAAGCCCAGCCTGGCAACATAGTGAGTCCTCATTTGTACAAAAAATCAAAAATTAGCTGAGCATGGTGGCACACACATGTACTCCCAGCTACTTGGGAGGCTGAGGTGGGACTATCACTTGAGCCTGGGAGGTCGAGGCTATAGTGAATCATGATTGTGCCATTACACTCCAGCCTGGGTGACAGCAAGACCCTGTCTCAAAAAAAAATATATATATATACACACACACACACACACACACACACACACACACAGATCCTCTGGTATCAAACCTCAGACCTACTGAATTCAAATTCTTAGAAGTGGGGTCCTTACATTTCTTTTTATTGTTGTTGCTTTTGTGTGTGTATGTTTTGTTTTTTTTTTTTTTGAGATTCAGGAAGGCAAAAGTTTCTTAAATTCCTGTTAATTTGCTCAGATAATCCTGCTGGTCACCATGAAAAATAGCTCGTTTAAAGTTTAAATATCTGATTCTAAGATGTACCTTTTCCCCCACTTGTAGTGTTTCTGCAATAGATTTTGTATTACATTAATGTATGCACAATAATTAACATTTATGTGAGCTTTGTTCCTAGCACTTTTCAAAGCATTTTTGCATGTATTCTTCACAATAACCTCAAGTGATAGATACCATTATTTTCCTCATTTTAGAATTGGGAAAACCAAGGCACAAGGAGATAAATATCTTGTCTTAGTCATTACAAAGCAGTATCTTGATATATACATGTTAATCTGGGGCCTGGGCAGTTTAAAATAGAAATATACATAAGATTTCAGAAAGAAGTCATACCAGTTTGGTCTTATGTCTTTTCTTAAGTTCTTACTGTGGTGATATGGTTCATTAAAATTATTTTTCTCTGATATGTTCTGATTAACATGAAATCCTTTATGTACTGCACAGCTTTAAAAAATAATAATAATTTTAAGAGACTCCAGTGAACATTAATGCATTTTTTTATTTATGCATAGCAATTATATTCCAGAAGTGAGAATCATGTCAATTCCCAACCTTCGCTACATGAAGGTTAGTACCTTGCTCATTAACAGGAAGAAAAAGGATTGATCAATGATGTGTGTGTCTGTGTATGTGGGTGGCTGTGTGTGTATTTGGCACAGGATCCAGAGAGCAAGGGATAGAAAAGAAGAGAGTTTGGGATAATGAAGACTTTAAATTTATTGACACTGAGATCCTTGACAACAACATCTTTGATGAAAAGTAGGGAGAAGGAGCAGAGTGCACATTATGTCAAGGTGAAATTCTGGGTGGGGAGAATGATGGATCCCACAGGCATCTTTTGTTCTTCTCCAGCCTAGAGATTCTCCTCGATCTCCTGTATGTTGTTTCGGGTACTAGGAATCAGTTAGATTTCCAGATTTCCATACCACAGCCCTTCTCTTCCTTGGAGTCCTCATCTACTCCCCTTTTCCAGACACATGCCCAGTGAATTGTAGAATATTCTGCAGCAACCTCTTTAACTCTTTCCTTTCATGCTGCTCGTGAAAACACAAATGTTTATCATATGGTCCTTCATTTGAAAGATTGGTTTTGCTTATCTAGAGAGAGTACCAAGCAACGACAAATTATCACAGTTCAAGAAGTCTTAAAAAGTTTTTATAAGGTTGGGCATGGTGGCTTATACCTGTAATCCCAACACTTTGGGAGGCCAAGATAAGTAGATTGCTTGGGCCCAGGAGGTCAAGACCAGCCTGGTCAACATGGGGAAACCTCATCTCTGCAAAAAATACAAAAAATTTGCCAGGTGTGGTGGCACACACCTGTGGTCCCAGCTACTCAGGAGGCTGAGATGGAAGGATCACCTGAGCCCAGGAGGTCGAGGCTGCAGTGAGCCATGATCACACCACTGCACTCCAGCCTGGGCAACAGAGTGAGACCTTGTCCCAAAAATAAGTAAAAATTTTAAAAAGTTTTTGTAGTCTTGGTGTGCCATTTTTGCTCTGTTAATGCATCTGACTGGCCTGTGACTCCCATGTTTTATTTATAAGGGCCTCCTTTTCAGTCCTTAAATGGCAGCGTGGGTGAGACAAGAGTTAAACAATCACTTAGATAATAAGCATTCCTCGGAATTTCTGGATCTAGTAACTGGCCCTTTCAGTGGAATCTGTCCCATTTCCTTAGTGAAATAGCAACTCCAGAGAGTATTTGGTCTAACGTAGATAATAGAACAGGGATCAGTAAGCACGTAGAGAATACAGTGATGTAGAGGTATAAGTGGGCGTCATTGCTCAGGAGTAATGGGGGGGAATGGTAATTTTGCAAAATACTTGGTATAGCAGCTAAGAAAGTGGTGAATGTCTGAGAGATGTGTTTCCTATTCTCCAGGAGAGCCAGGTCCTCCTGACTCTTACGAATCCAGTTGAGAACCTCACCCATGTGACTCTGTTGGAGTGTGAGGAGGGGGACGCTGATGATATCAACAGCACTGCTAAGGTAGGAGCATTTTGCCTCAGCCTGACTGACCCTCACTTTCCCTGGAGTGTCCTCATTTGACCTGGCTTAAAAGACTCCACACTCTCTCCTTTCCACATCTAGTCAGCACGTTCTTTTGATTCCACCTCCTGAATTTTTTTACTTTATCCTGAAGTACACTGCCCTATTTGAAGGCCTCATCGTTTCTTACCTGGACTGTGACAATAACTTCCTAACTGACCTTGCTATTTTTATACCACCACCTCCATTTCAACCCATTTCTTCTCTATTGCCACCAGGGTATTGATACTTCTAAAATCTAACTCTTCGCATGCTGGTCATTTAGCATTGCTCTTGACTGAGATGAAGTCCAGATTTTTGGCATAGCATAAGAGCTCCTTAATGACTACTTCTCTCTGTTCATCCAGTGTGATCTTCCTTCAGATCCTCAAATTTAGCATTCCCTGAATCATACATATTAGTGGTTGTGATCCAGACAGATGCAATGGGTTATAAACTTTGATGCTAGAGAATTGTGTATGCTATTCGTTTTACCTAGAATGCCTCCTTCCTATCCTGACTCCTCTAACATACATGCGCCTTCAGTCTCTCAGTCTCATACATTCATTCTTCAACACTTGTGAAGTATCATTTCCTTTTAGAAATGATACGTTTAAAATCATTTAGAAGCTGGTATGCCTCCTCTAGATTCCTCTACCTTACAAAGAGTATACATAACATAGCACTAACTAGGCTTGGCATGGTGGCTCACGCCTGTAATCCTAGCACTTTGGGAGGCCGAGGTGAGTGGAGCACCTTAGGTTAGGAGTTCAAGACCAGCCTGGCCAACATGGTGAAATCCGTCTCTACCAAAATACAAAAATTAGCTGGGCGTGATGGCAGGTGCCTGCAATCCCAGCTACTGGGGAGGCTGAGACGGGAGAATTGCTTGAACCCAGGAGACAGTGGTTGCAGTGAGCCGAGATCGTGTCACTCCACTCCAGCCTGGGCAGCTGAGCGAGACTCCATCTCAGAAAACAACAACAACAACAACAAAAAAACACTAACTAAATACTGAAGTGGGTGATTTTGACTGTCAGTCTGAGTTGAATGGATGTAATATGGCCTCTTTATATTTTGCTACTTCTAGTACTTGAAATTTTAGAATAAGAGCCTTTCTCTCTAGATCGTCGATTACTGATTCATAATTCAGCTTGATATTTATAATAAAAATGGTTTAAAAGGATGCCTATATCTTTAGTTGTTATTCAAATATTATTAGAGAATTTCTGTCCTCTTTTTCTTTTTTTTTTTTTTGTTCCTGCTTTTTAATGATTTCACTTACAAGCATCACCTCCAAAGACTTTTTTTTTTTGAGACAGAGTCTTGCTCTGTCGCCCAAGCTGGAGTGCAGTGGCGCGGTCTCGGCTGACTGCAATCTCCGCCTCCCAGGTTCAAGCAATTCTCCTACCTCAGCCTCCCAAGTAGCTGGGATTACAGGTGCCTGCCACCATGCCTGGCTGATTTTTTGTATTTTAATAGAGACAGGGTTTCAGCATGTTGGCCAGGATGGTCTCAATCGCCTGACCTCATGATCCACCTTCCTTAGCCTCCAAAGGTGCTGTGATTACATGCCTGAGCCACCTCACCTGGCCGCTGCTTTTTTTTAATTAACACTAATAAGCAGCTCCAGTTAAGACAGAGGCAGAAATAAGTACCTGATTCATAAGCACAGCTTGTCTTTATCTCTCTTTATACCTCCCTGCCCACATTTGTATCTATCATTAGAAATTTGATCGACATTGTTAACTGTTAACCTCTGATAGAGCAAAGTTGAGGCCTAATTACAACATAAGTCTGAAGAATACTAATTGTTTTCCATGACCATAAACACCCAGTATCTCATGTGAGTTTATGTATCAGGTACCAGGAATCAGCTGGCACCATGTCAAAAAACATTGTGTTGGAGCCAGTGTTTCTCCTTTGTGTTGTTCTTAATGATGGACTGTTTCAGATGTATCAAAAAAAAAAAAAAAAAAAGAATATGGCAAATACCCATTTCTCCCCATTCTCTTAAGAAATAAAACATTAGGGTCAGGTGCAGTGGCTCATGCCTGTAATCCCAGCACTTTGGGAGGCCAAGGCAGGTGGATCACGAGGTCAGGAATTCAAAACCAGCCTGGACAATGTGGTGAAACCCCATCTCTACTAAGAATGCAAAAAATCAGCCAGGCGTGGTGATGGGCACCTGTAATCCCAGCTACTTGGGAGGTTGAGGCAGGAGAATCGCTTGAACCCAGGAAGCAGAGGTTGCAGTGAGCCGAGATTACGCCATTGCACTCTAGCCGGAGCGACAGTGCAAGACTGTGTCTCTAAAAAATAATTAAATAAAACATTAAAGACACAACTGAAGCCCCCATGTTCTCCCCAGTTCCTCATTGCAGACCCCATGAAGTAGGTACTTACTTTCTCTTAAAACCTTTGTTCTTATAAACTCCATATAAGTAGTATATATGTTTCCTGAAACTTGCTGTATGTTTCCATTTGTCTAAATCAGTGTCATACTTTGCTATATTCTGTCACACTGGTCCCTTCTCAGGCAGGCCTCTCTGTGTTGCTCTCCAGGTGGTGGTGCCTCCCAAAGAGCTCATTTTAGCTGGCAAGGATGCAGCAGCAGAGTACGACGAGTTGGCAGAACCTCAAGACTTTCAGGACGATCCCGAGTGAGTGATCTTTTTGTGATCCCCATACCACAATTGGCTGAGACAGAATGCCCACTTATATATCCGAATTTCTTGTCTGGATGTTTTTAAATTACTTTTTTCTTCCTGTTTCTAAAAATAATTATTGTAGAAAATTGGGGAAATATATATAAGACCATGAAGAAGAAAATAAAATTATCCCACCACCAGAGATAAACAGCATTAACATTTTGGCATTTGTCCTCCCAAATATTTCTCCCCTCATTGGGATCATTCTACAGATACAGTTTTTTAGCCTTTTTCACTTGAATATATTTTCCCATGTTAATTAAAAAAAAATTTTAAGTATATGATTTTAATGGTTGTGGACAGGATACAATATTCTGTCCCTATAGATTTATCATTGGGTTTGTTCCACACCCCCACCCCCTTGGCGTAATTAATAGATTTTACTCTCTCATACCTAATAACTGAAAAGAACCAAACCTTCCACTAACTGGGAACTGTGACCATCAGAGAATTCAGTCTATAGACTGACTGATTTCAGTGATTTGAACAGAGAATTTAATATAAAGAATTATTCACTTGTGTAACTTAAAAAGTGAAAAAGAACACTAAAGTAGCAATTTTATGCTACTTCATGGGCATAAAATTTCAAAGATAGCTATTTTATGAGCCAGCTACCACCCCTCGGGTGGAGGGAACAAAGGGAAAGAGTTAGAATTATTAAAATTTAGAACTTAAAGAAGGAGCTCCATGTAGCTGAAACTCAAAGAAGGAGCTCCATGTAGCTGAAACTCGGGCCTCCAGTGAGCTGAAGGGGAACACTGCTTGCCTGGTCCTGGCATCTCATGATGGCAAAGGAGGGGTGGCGTGATTATACGAGAGCTGGAAAACTTCAGCTGCTTACTGCCACTTCCTCCTGGGTAAAGAAGCATTGCTGGGCTGGGCATGGTGGCTCACCCCTATAATCTCAACACTTTGGGAGGCTGAGGCAAGAGGATTGCTTTAGCCCAGGAGTTTGAAACCAGCCTAGGAATATAGTAAGACCCCGTCTCTACAAAAAAATTTTTTAAATAGCCAGGTGTAGCAGCGCATGCTTGTAGTCCCAGCTACTCAGGATACCAGGGCGGGAGAATCAGCTGAGCCCGGGAGGCAGAGGTTGTAGTGAGCCGTGATTGTGCCACTGCACTCCAGCCTGGGCAACAGAGTGATACCCTGTCTCAAAAAAAAAAAGGCCTTTTTGGAGTGATGGCCACAGGGAACAGGGACCACAAGCAAACAGGAATCTCTAAAGGAAGAGCAAGAAAGACCCTTCCTCCTCTAGACTTCTAGTCTCCCTTTAGAGCCCGCTACTGACAGAACCTAACAAAGAGCCAGCCAACCCAGCAGATACGGTCTGAGCAGAATCCTGTGTCACACAGCAAAACAGAGAGAGGTGCGATTGGAACTGAAAAACAATAGCTTAATAAACTGGCACAGGGAACATTTACGGTCTTTGCTTTGTTTTTTGAGATGGAGTCTCACTCTGTCCCCCAGGCTGAAATGCAATGGCGTGATCTCCTGCTCACTACAACCTCCACCTCCCGAGTTCAAGCAATTCTTCTGCCTCAGCCTACTGAGGAGCTTGGATTACAGGCGAGCGCCACCATGCCTGGCCAATTTTTGTATTTTTAGTAGAGATGGAGTTTTGCCATGTTGCCCAGGCTGGTCTCGATCTCCTGACCTGAAGTGATCCACCCACCTTGGTCTCCCAAAATGCCAGGATTACAGGCATGAGCCAACATGCCTGACCCATTTGTGGTTTTTTGACTGAATGATCAAAAGCTTTCTCAACAAGATATTAGAAGAGATAACATAAGGTGGGTTAGAAAAATAAAGTGAAGCCAAGGGCTGTGTCTCACGCCTGTAATCCCAGCACTTTGGGAGGCTGAGGCGGGCACATCACTTGAGGTTAGGAGTTCGAGACCAGCCTGGCCAACATGGCGAAATCCTGTCTCTACTGACAATAACGAAAATTAGCCAGGTGTGGTGGCACGCGCCTGTAATTCCAGCTACCCGGGAGGCTGAGATGGGAGAATTGCTTGAACCCTGGAGGCGGGGGTTGCAGTGAGCTGAGATCGCACCACTGCACTCCAGCCTGAACAGCAGAGCCAGACTCCATCTCAAAAAAAATAAAGAAAAGAAAAAGAAAAAGAAAGTGAAGGCAAAGGTGAGATTAGTGATTACCAAACGTGGGTTAACTCCAAAAAGCACCAGGTCAAGTGTTGTTTTGTTTTGTTGTTCGATAGCATTCCAGACCCCAACCCCAGAGGATTTTTTTTAGCAGGTCTAGCTAGAGACCAGAAATCCAAATTTGTTTTGGAAAAGCTTCCCAGGTATCAGTGGTTGCCTGGGAAATTAAGGATAAAAAGAAAGACTGACGTTTTCCTTTTTACCACTTTAAACTGTTTGAATTTTTTATGTGACTCATACAAATCAAAGGTTTGGTTAGTTACTGTAATACAAAATATACTGAGTTGTACAATACAAAATGTGTTCTCTGAAATCCTTGCTTTATGTGGGTCCTTAAATTAATTAGGTACAGAAGTTTGTTAAGCCAAGATATATTTCTGGAATGATTGTCTGAGATATCAGATTTTCACCTGATTACATGATAGAGTAATTAAAAACTGAATTAATTATATTTTACATTAGAATTAATAGAACTTTCAGATTTTGTAAATACGTAATCCCAGTAACCTTTCTTAGAGTAACTGAGTATCATTTGGATAGTAGACAAATTCTGTTTATTTCATTGCCCTTTTACTTTCAGAAACTACGTTATTAAAGCACAAACTTTATGCACAAATGAGGGGAAATTGAAATGGAAACCTCAATGAAGAGACATTTTTATGCTAAATTTCCTAATTACATAAGTTATTTACAAAAACACTCTTGATTTATGGTGTTCCAAATTTCCCTTAAAGCATTGAGTTACTAAAACTTTCCACAGTATGGCCAGGCATGGTGGCTCATGCCTATAATCACAGCACTTTGGGAGGCCGAGGCAGAAGGATCGTTTGAGCTTAGGAGGTCAAGGCTACCATGAACTATGATTGTGCCACTGCTGTCCAGCCTGGGTGACAGAACAAAACCTTGTCTCTAAAATATAAAAATAAGGCCAGGCACGGTGGCTCACACCTGTGATATACCAGCATTTTGGGAGGCCGAGGCGGGTGGATCACCTGAGGTCAGGAGTTTGAGACCAGCCTGACCAATATGGTGAAACCCCATCTCTACTGAAATTACAAAAATTAGGCAGGCATGGTGGTGTGCGCCTGTGGTCCCAGCTACTCAGGAGGCCGAGGCAGGAGAATCGCTGGAACCGAGGAGGTGGAGGTTGCGGTGAGCTGAGATCACGCCACTGCACTCCAGCCTGGTTGACAGAGCGAGACTCCATCTTGAAAATATAAAATATAAAATAAAAAATAAAAAAATGACTTTCCATGGTATGAGTCTATGTTCTTTAGAAATATTACCACATTTGCACAGAGGTGAATGTAAAGGGATGTTTGCAGGACCATTGTTTATAATAGAGAACAATTGGCAGCAACCTCAGTATGTGCCAGTTATGGTAAACACATAATTGAATAGCATGCAACCATTACATAGAATGTAGACGATCTGTATATACCAGCATCAAAAGATGTTTGTGATAAACAGAGTAAAACAAGCAGTTATGGAATAGTGTGTACCATCTGCATTGGTTAGAAAAGCAGAAAAGTATAAGCTCATAGAAAAATATATGGCCGACGTGTTGGCTCATGCCCGTGATCCCAGCACTTTGGGAAGCCAAGGCAAACAGATCACTTGAGCCCTGGTGTTCGAGACCAGCCTGGGCAACATGACAAAACCCCATCTCCACCAAAAATACATATTAAAATATAAAGCTAGCCAGGTGTGGTGGTGCATGCCTGTAGTCCCAGCTACTCGGGAGGCTGAGATGGGAGAATTACTTGAGCCCGTGAAACAGGTTGCAGTGACCCAAGATGGAGCCATTGCACTCCAGCCTGGG